CCGGCCACTGCACTCCAGCCTGGGCGACAGAGCAAGACTCCGTCTCAAAAAAAAAAAAAAAAAATAGAATGATATGCTAGGCCGGGGCCAGGCACGGTGGCTCACACCTGTAATCCTAGCACTTTGGGAGGCCAAGGCGGGTGGATCACCTGAGGTCAGGAGTTCAAGACTAGCCTGACCAACATGGAGAAACCCCATCTCTAATAAAAATACAAAATTAGCTGGACGTGGTGATGCATGCCTGTAATCCCAACTATTTGGGAGGCTGAGGCAGGAGAATTGCTTGAACCCAGGAGGTGGAGGTTGCAGTGAGCCGAGATGGCGCCACTGCACTCCAGCCTGGGCAAAAAGAGCGAAACTCTGTCTGAAAAAAAAAAAAAAAAAAAAAAATGATATTCTAAAGTTGTGATTTGTTTTCCAACTTTGAATCCTAGGACCCCTTTTGAGCAACATTGTGATTGGCTTCAACCAGAAACAGTAGTTTTAATCTCGTTTTCATATTTTGCATTCCTTTAAAATGGTTCTGCTGCTTTTTTAAAAGTCTAGAAGCCACTATACTAGAAAAACCTTAAAATGTATGTAACACTACTTAAATAGCCTTCTGCAATTTGGCAGGGCCCCCAGAAAATCCTGGGATCAAGAGGTTATAGGAATTTTAAGGTCTATGTAAGTGGTCATAGGTTTATGGAAGTTCCTGGAGCAATACACTGGGGGAGGGCTATGATAGGGAGGTGAAATTCTTACTGAATTTCAGCAAGACTCTATTGGTCATTCTTCCTTCAGTGGCAAAGGTGTTCCCTAGAACATTTCTATTAGAACAGCTCTGCTTACCGCTTAATTACTAAAGCTGCTTTTCCCAGGATTTTCCAGACTGCCAGCAAATACATTTTAGAAATGCAAAATGAGGTGGGGGAAAGACAATATGGCCAACGTTCTTCTGCTAAACGTTGCCACAGCTGGAATAAGGCAATATCTGTATAAATGTGTGTGTGTGTGTTTGTGTGTGTGTGTCCAGTGGGCTCAGAAGAAATTTATGGTTATGTTATATTCTAACAAATCATGGTTGAGGCCAGAGCAGGGATCCAGGTGTTCCCTAAATCTGAAGCCAAAGCCAAAGAAACTTTTTATGGTTTCAGCAGACATTTTCTTTCCAAAATCTGCGTTGTAATCTGTATCTACAAAGATAAAAGATCTGCACACAAACCAAGCCCTAAGATAATGATGTTTACTGGTTTTGCTGGCCTAAAAGAGGGCATTCTCCAGTTCCTCATCAGCTGGGAGAAAACCTTCCCCCACCCTCTCCTGAACAAGTGCTTTCCCTCCCCACTAAGCAAGTGAATTTTAAATACCACTCTAAAGTTGTTGGCTGGTGACCTGGAAAATTCCTTTTGCTTTGTTATGCTGTTAATGGTCCATCAGTTTAAACCTCGTATCCCCAGAAAGTTTCCTTCTCTTAACTAGACTGGAGAAGGAAGACGCAGAAGTTTAAAAAAGAAAAAAAGAATTGTTCTCAAAGGGTTTGAGGAAGATTCAAAGATGGTGTTGGGAAAATTGGATATCCATATGCAAAAAAATGAATGAAAAATAAAACTAGACCCCTATCTTTCACCATACACAAAAATAGATTCAAGCTGAATTAAAAACTTAAATGTAAGACCTAAAATTATGAAACTACTAGAAGAAAACAGGGAAAATGCTTCAGATCTGGGCAAAGATTTTCTGGGTAAGACCTCAAAAGCACAGGCAACGAAAGCAAAAAGAGACAAATGGGATCATATCAAACTAAAAAGGTTCTGCACAGCAAGGGCAGTCATGAGTGAAGAGGCAATCTGCAGAATGAGAGAAAATATCTGCAAACTATTCATCTGACAAAGGGTTAGAATCTAGAATATACAAAGTACTTAATAACAAACCAAATATTCAGATTAAAAATGGGCTCATAATCTGAATACACATTTCTCAAAAGAAGACAGACAAATGGCTAACAGGTATCTAAAAAAATGCTTGGCCGGGTGTGGCAGCTCATGCCTGTAATAATCCCAGCACTTTGGGAGGCCGAGGCAGGTGGATCACCTCAGGTCAGGAGTTCAAGACCAGCCTGGCCAACGTGGTGAAACCCTGTCGCTACTAAAAATACAAAAATTGGCTAGGTGTGGTGGTGTGCACCTGTAATCCCAGCTACTCGTGAGGCTAAGACAGAGAATCACTTGAACCCAGAAGCAGTGGCACCAAGATCGTGCCACTGCACTCCAGCCTGGGCAACAGAGCAAGACTCCATATCCAAAAAAAAAAAAAAAAAAAAAGCCGGGGTGGCTCACGCCTGTAATCCCAGCACTTTGGGAGGCCAAGGCGGGCAGATCACAAGGTCAGGAGATCGAGACATTCTGACCAACATGGTGAAACCCCGTCTCAACTAAAAAATACAAAAAATTAGCCAGGTGTGCGTGGTGGCGTGTGCCTATAGTCCTAGCTACTTGGGAGGCTGAGGCAGGAGAATTGCCTGAACCTGGGAGTTGGTGGCTGCAGTGAGCCGAGATCATACCACTGCAGTCTAGCCTGGCCACAGAGTGAGACTCTGTCTCAATATAAAAAAATAATAATAAAGAAAAATGCTCAACATCACTAATCATCAGGGAAATGCACATTAAAACCACCATGAAAGCTGGGCGCGGTGGCTTATGCCCATAATCCCAGCACTTTGGGAAGCCGAGGTGAGCGAATCACCTGAGGTCAGGAGTTCAAGACGAGCCTGGCCAACATGGCAAAACCCTGTCTCTATTAAAAATACTAAAAATACAAAAATTACCAGGCATGGTGGCAGATGCCTGTAATCCCAGCTACTTGGGAGGTTGAGGCAGGGACAGTTGCTTGAATCTGAAAAGCAGAGGTTGCAGTGGGCCAAGATCTCGCCACTGCACTCCATCCTGGGTGACAGAGCGATACTCCATCTCAAAAAAATAAAACCACAATGAAATATCTTCTCATCCAGTTCAAGTGACTACTATCAAAAAGATGAAAAACAACAAATGCTGGCAAGGATGAGTAGAAAAGGGAATTCTTATAAACAGTTGGCGGGAATGTAAACTGGTATAGCCATCATAGAGAATGGCATGGAGTTTTCTCAAAAAATTACAAATAGAATTACCATGTGATCCAGCAATCTCACTGGAGTATTAATCCAAAGGAAAGGAAATCAGTACATCAAAAAGACATCTGTCCTCCTATGTTAATTGCAGCACTATTCATAACAGCTAAGACATGGAATCAACCTAAGTGTCCATCAAGGACTTAATGGATAAACAAAATGTGGTATAAATAAACAATGGAATACTATTCAGCCATAAAAGAAAGAATGAAATCCTGTCATTTGTGGCAACATGGATAAGTTTGGAGGACATTATGTTAAGTGAAATAAGCCAGGCACAGAATTATAAAAACCGCATGTTCTCATTCATATGTGGGAGGTAAAAAAGTTGACTTCATACAAGTGTAGAGTAGAAGAGTGGTTCTTAGAAGCTGGGAAGGGTAGTAGGTAAAGGGAATAGAAAGGGGTTGGTTAATGGATAAAAAAATTACAGCTAGGCCGGGTGTGGTGGCTCATGCCTATAATTCCAGTAGTTGTGAGGCCGAGGTGGGTGGATCACTTGAGGTCAGGTGTTCAAGACCAACCTGACCAAAATGGTGAAAATCCTTCTCTACTAAAAATACAAAAATTAGCTGGGCACTGTGATGGGCGCCTGTAATCCCAGCTACTTGGGAGGCTGAGGCAGGAGAATCACTTGAACCTGGCAGGTGGAGGTTGCAGTGAGCTGAGGTTATGCCACTGCACTCCAACCTGGGTGACAGAGCAAGACTCTGTCTCAAAAAAAAAGAAAAAAAAAAATTACAGCTAGATGGGAGGAATAAGTCCCAGTGTTCTATAGCACTGTAGGGTGATAACAGTTAACAATTACTTATATATTTTCAAATAGCCAGAAGAGACAATTTTGGATATTCCCAATACAAAGAAATGATAAAAGTTTGAGGTGATGAATATGCTAATTACTCTGATTTGATTATTACACATTGTTTACATATATCAATATATCACACTGTATCTATAAATATGTATAATTATTATGTGTCAATTAAAAATAAAATTAAAAAATACAGTGAAGGAAATAGTTCTGTAACTACTGATGCAGAAATATTTAAATTAAGCAAAATAATTGTATATAACATATATACTTTATATACATATATATATATGCACACACACACACACACTTTTTTGTTTTTTGAGACAGAATCTTGCTCTGTCACCCAGGCTGGAGTGCAATGGTGTGATCTCAGCTCACTGCAACCTCTGCCTTCCGAGTTTGAGCGATTCTCCTGCCTCAGCCTCCCAAGTAGCTGGTGCCTGCCACCATGCCCGGCTATTTTTTGTATTTTTAGTAGAGATGGGGTTTTGCCATGTTGGCCAGGCTGGTCTCCAACTCCTGACCTCAGGTGATCTACCTGCCTTGGCCTCCCAAAGTGCTGGGATTACAGCCATGAGCCACCATGCCCAGCCTGTATTACATTTATATATATAATATTATAATTATATATTATTTACATTATATAAGTATTATCTATATTATATAAATATTACATATTATATAGGTAATATTATTCCCATTTCAAAGAAGAGGAAACTGAGGCTTATAGAAAGTAGTGAAGCTAGAAATCCCACGTGGGTTTTCTGTCTCCTTAGCTCATGCTCTGAACTATGCATTATGCTGCTTATAAACAGCAAAGATCTAAGGAAACATAAATAAAAGGAAGCACAGAGTGGCCAAACAATTCCTCCCTAGAGCATGACATTTCACCTTCCGCCAGTTGCTCAGGTCATATGTTTGCTGAGTTATCAGCTCCTAATTGGAGGGAACAGTTCTGCACATGTTATAAGCAGACCTCCTACCCCTAGGCTTTCAGATTTCATAAGGTTCTTACCACAAAGCACCATTGTTTTTCTTCAGGGCTTGGACTGTCAGATTACATTTCTAAGTTTCCAGAAGAACAACACATAGACACGGGAAGTCAGAGCCTTTGAACTCAAATGCCATCCCCGTCACCCACCTCCACCACCAGCACCACCACCGAATGCCACCGAATGGCACTTTGGACAACTTTTCCCTCTCATGAGTTTTGTCATTTCTTACATCAATTGGAACCAGCACCTCTCAAATTCATCTTCTAAAACTCAGAAAATTGTGTGGAACACATGATGTCTGAAACGTGAGTAGGCTGACCAGGTAAGAGCCTACCACTGGAATGGAAGGCTGTGGGAGGGTGAGGGGACGATGGACATCAATAGGGAAGAGCTGGAATATGGCATTACCAGGTATCTACCCTGCTACCCTGCATGGAATTCCCAGGACCCAGGGTGGGTTTTTATGCTTCCCCTTTTAATACTTATTTTTATTACTTGTCAGTAGAAGTGTCTTTATCTTAAAAAATTAATACATGATTGTTGTCACCAATTTAAATAATATGGAGATGAATAGAGAGAAAGTAAAATTATAGATTTAGGCTGGGCGCAGTGGCTCACGCCTGTAATCCCAGTATTTTGGGAGGCCGAGGCTGGTGGATCACCTGAGGTCGGGAGTTCCAGACCTGTCTGACCAACATGGAGAAACCCTATCTCTACTAAAAATACAAAATTAGCCGGGCATGGTGGTGCATGCCTGTAATCCCAGCTACTTGGAAGGCTGAGGCAGGAGAATCACTTGAACCTGGAAGGCAGAGGTTGCGATGAGCTGAGATTGCGCCACTGCACTCCAGCCTGTGCAACAAGAGCAAAACCCCGTCTCAAAAAAAAAAAAAAAAAATTATAGATTTACACTACACACACCCCTTTACGACCCTCCCTCATGCCTCTGCCCAGCCATCACTCCTAACCCTAACCCCTTTGGAGTCTATCCTTCCAGATGGTTCTGGGGAGTGTGTGTGTGTGTGTGATTTACAAAAATATCAATGAGAGAACTCTATTCTGCACCTTGTATGTTACAAGCATCTTTCTGCTCTCTCAGCTCTCTTATTATTGACAGCAGCACAGTGCCCCACTATAAGAATGCATCATCTTCCTTTTCGTCTTATCTTTGCTTTCTCTTTTACTTTCCTACGGAACCTGTCCCAGCTCATGCTTATACTCTCCCTTGGTCCTCCCTTAAGGAACTGCACAAATGGGAAGGTGGTCAAAGGTGAAAAGGGCATGGGGTGGGCCCTAGAAGGGAGAGTGAGGAGGGTGGGGGAGCGTATTCTATCCTGGTCATTACTGGGGTACACAGGGAGTTATTTTTCCTCCTCACCTTGCCAAATGTTTCCTCTGTCTGGCCAAGGCATACCTTTAACAATTTATGGGAATCATCTCTGAAAACGACAGAGAGGATTAGCACCGAGAAACATAAAAGTCTGTTTTCTTTGAGTTACAATCTCTCTTTTAAGACCTCCAATCTGGGCATCTAGGCCAGTCCACTGCCTCTGTCCAAGATGTATGAGCAGCTTGGGCTTATAGCACCCCATGCTCTTCTCTAGGTAGCTACTCTGCCTGATTAACAACCCCATTAGGTAGAAATTTGTTCCTTGCCACTGGAAAGGCATTTCAGTTTATAGGATACAGACAGGACCACTTATTACCTGTGTGCCTTTGACCACATTTTGTGTCATCCCTGTACCCAGTTTCCTCATCTGTAAATGGGAATAATAATAATAATATATATCTTAGTTGGTAGGGTTTTTCTTTGTAACTTAAATGAGACAAAATATATATGTAGCTTACTTAGGGTATTATATAGCAGCTGCTAAGCACTCAATGAATGTGGATGATTATACCCTGAATTGAAATAGCTCTTCCATGGGCCGGGCGCGGTGGCTCAAGCCTGTAATCCCAGCACTTTGGGAGGCCGAGACAGGCGGATCACGAGGTCAGGAGATCGAGACCATCCTGGCTAACACGGTGAAACCCCGTCTCTACTAAAAATACAAAAAACTAGCCGGGCGAGGTGGCGGGCGCCTGTAGTCCCAGCTACTCCGGAGGCTGAGGCAGGAGAATGGCGTAAACCCGGGAGGCGGAGCTTGCAGTGAGCTGAGATCCGGCCACTGCAGTCCAGCCCGGGCTACAGAGCAAGACTCCGTCTCAAAAAAAAAAAAAAAAAAAAAAAAAAGAAATAGCTCTTCCTGCACTTTATTTTTATTTATTTAATTAATTAATTAATTTTGAGACAGAGTCTCCCTCTGTCGCCCAGGCTGGAGTGCAGGGGCAGGATTTCGACTCACTGCAACCTCAACCTCCCTGGTTCAAACAGTTCTCCGGCCTCAGCCTCCCAAGTAGCTGAGATTACAGGTGCCTGTCACCATGCCTGGCTAATTTATTTTTTTGTATTTTTAGTAGAGACGGGATTTCACCATGTTGGCCAGGCTGGTTTTAAACTCCTGACCTCAGGTGATCAGCCCATCTTGGCCTCCCAAAGTGCTAGGATTACAGGTGTGAGCCACTACGCCTGGCCTTCTTACTGCACTTTATTTATTTATTTATTTCATTTTATTTTATTTAGAGATGGAGTCTTGCTCTGTGGCCAGGCTGGAGTGCAGTGGCACGAACTCAGCTTACTGCAACCTCCACCTCCTGGGTGGGTTTAAGGGATTCCACTGCCTCAGCCTCCCAAGTAGCTGGGACTACAGGTGGCGCCACCACGCCCGGCTAATTTTTTTGTATTTTAGTAGAGATGAGGTTTCGCCATGTTGACCAGGATGGTCTCCATCTCCTGACCTCATGATCCGCCCGCCTCGGCCTCCCAAAGTACTGGGATTACAGGTGTGAGCCACTGCACCCGGCCACCCTACTGCACATTAAACCCAAACTTTAAATATCGTCTAGATCAGTGGCTCTGTTTTTTTTTTTTTTTGTTTTTTTTTTTTGAGACAGAGTTTTGCTCTTGTTGCTCAGGCTGGAATGCAATGGCGCGATCTCAGCTCACCGCAACCTCTGCCGGCCGGGTTCAAGCAATTCTCCGGTCTCAGCCTCCCGAGTAGCTGGGATTACGGGTACACGCCACCACGCCCAACTACTTTTGTGTTTTTAGTAGAGACGGGGTTTCTTCATGTTGGTCAGGCTGGTCTCAGACTCCTGACCTCAACTGATCCGCCCGCCTCGGCCTCCCAAAGTGCTACGATTACAGGCGTGAGCCACCGCACCTGGCCCTAGGTCAGTGGCTCTTAACCCTGGCTGTACACTAAATTCACTTTTGAAGCCTTACAGAAATGCCAGTGCCTAGGCTCCATTACCAGAGCTCCTCATACCCTTGGTCTGAGGTGGGGTCAGGGGTGTCAGTGTTTTTGAAAGCCTCCCTTGGAATTCTCATTTGCACCTAGGTTGAGAAGTTCAGTGTTCTCATTTTCCCTATAGGAAGCTGTGAGGCCGAGAGTTGGAAGGAAACGGCTCAGGTGATTTAGCCAGCGCAGAAGGACCCAAGCCCCTTATCAAGGCTTGTCCTCAAGGGGAAAATGCAGCCCTGGGGCTGCCCTTCACTCGGGTCTTTTGGATGGGACTTCTGAGCTCTTTCTTGATAATGTTTGGACCTCTCCAACCCAGTTCTTCCTAGCACTCTTGTTTTTCCATCCTTGGAGGCCTCAGGTCAGACCCCTCAGAGAGGTGTCCCTACAGAAAGCCGCTGTTCCAGAATGTGACCCATTAAAAAACTCAGCACTTATAGATGTGAAATAATCCTGTTCATTTATTTTTGAGAATCTAAGCCCACTGTGGGCAGGAACCGTATCTATCTTGTTCCTGCGGTGCGGGGGCTTAGAGTGGTGACCAGCACTTAGTAAAACGTACTCATTAAATGACTGAATGAACGAAATCCCAGGAGGGCAGTTGAGTATTTTTTTATTATTATTTTTCTGGTCCTGACCATCTGATTCTCATTACTTCTACAGCTCGGGAAGTCTCTCTCTGCTTTGGCGTTTTATAAACCTCCTGTGCGTACATCGACATTTTAACCGTAAATCCACAGAGTTTTGGGACAGCAATACCCGAGGCCAGGGGATTGGGGGAGGGGGATAACTCCCCGGAGGTCCGAAGCCCCGGCGGAGCTGCCCTGGGGTTGGGGGGAGGGAGGGGAACCCTCACGAGGACGCCCCTCCGCCCCCTGCCCGCCCCCTCGGCGGGAGATGGCCCCGGGCTGCGACGTCCTTCAGAGGGGTGCGCCGCCGCCGCGGCCGTCTCCTCGCGTCGGGCGGGGTTGGGGGGTGAGGGATGCGATCCGGGTCGTGGCCCGGGGGCGGCTCCAGCCGCAGCCCCCGCATTCCAGCCGCGCGCCCCCGGAGGTGATGCCTTGAGGAGGCTGTATTTTTTCTGGGGAGGAGCCGCAGGGGACCGTTGGGAGAGGGGCCCTGTGTGTGTCCCTTTAAGAGCCGGAGCGCTGCCCCCGCCTCGCAGGCGCCCGGAGCCTCACAAAAGAACAGGATGTTGTTGATTTGTCACCAAACCACAGAGAGGAAATGATTGTAAATTTCCTTTAAACATCCCCACCGCGCTCCCGCCGCCCCCGCTTCCGCCTCCGCCGCCCCCGCCCGGCCCGGCACAGCGGGGCCTCAGCGCTCCCGCGGGGCGCCTGCTCCCCGGCCGGGCCACGGGCCGAGCGGCTCCTGGGCGCCTGCGGGAGGAGCCCCCGGCCCGGCCGCTGCCCTAGCTCGCGTTCCAGTTCCTTTCTTATGATTATTTTTTCTACAGCTGCAGCGGAGGAAGGTCCTGGGTTTTGGTGTGAGCCCGCGCGCAGCCTTTCTCTCCGGCAGCGAATGGGAACCGCGCGCGGGGAGCTCCGTGCTGTGTCTAGGGAGCGCCTTAGCGCGCCATCCCCGTTTAGCCTCGCAGACTCCCTGTAGAGGCAATAGCCTTTAGCGCTTTCGTTAGGATCTGGAGGGAAACTGAAGCCCAGGTTACGTGAGCCGAAAGTCACCAGCTCTTGGAACGCCTTGGGGGCCCTTGGAACACACCACGCAGGATTAGGTCATCCC